AGTGGAAGAGGCAGACAGGAAGATCCCAGGGTCTTGTTGGCCAACCAGCCACATGCTAACATACATATACACCACACACATAACACATATATAAAAATACCTTCAGGCTGTATGTGTAAGTGCACATGCAAAACATGAATAAAATTTCATGCTTACACTGGGATACCATCTCTTAGATGTCTCGTTAGGTAAGTGCACATATTCCAAAATCAGAAAGAAAAAAAACCCCTGAAATCCAAAGCACTTGTGTTCTCAACCATTTCTGAGAACTCTAAACTGTGTGAGTTACTCAATCAGCTGGGAACTCCATTTCTGATCTGCACACTGAGGTGCAGAAACCTGAAGCCTATGGTGGCTTTAGCTCTAGATGGGAGACTCAAAAGCACCTGGCATGTAGTGGACACGGAATAAACATTAGTTCTCTTCGGAGTTGTTACTCACATGTGCTTTGCCTTCCTTTTGTGTTGCGTTATCCTCATGGGCTAACATGCATGAACAAAAATCCCAAGACTAACATGTACTCACTATACCCACAGTGTTCACAAGGAAAACTTAGTGAGGATGTATTCATTTGTTTTAGACACAGTTAAGTGGAAGAAACAAAGGCACCTCCCTGGAACCACCACTGACCAACCTGGTTCTACCTAAGAATAAGGAAACAGTTCAGGTACTGCACCTCATTTGTACATACACATGCCAGGGGTTAATTTTAGTTAATTTTCTTGTTTGTTTATGTTTGTGTGTGTGTGTGTGTGTGTTGTGTGTGTGTATCTTTTGTCTTGTTTTGTATGAGACATGTTCTCAACATATAGCCCCTGCTAGCCTAGATCTTGTTATACAGGCCTGGCTGGTCTCATAGTCTTGTGACCATCTTGCTGCCTCTGCCTCCCAAGTGCTAAAATTATAGGTGTGCATCCACTTAATTAATCTTCACATATATTGTGTGATTTGGATGAGTGGTGCTGTTGTCCACTCAGACCTGTTCTGCCCAGATGAACATATAAGGAAGTTTGTACCCTCAGGCTCCTGCTACCTGGCCACTCTGGAGCATGGCTCCCAAGATAGGACAGGGCTAGCGACGGCCCGCCCAGAGCTAAAATCTGGGTATCAAGAATTTAACTTCATGCTGGGCAGTGGGTTGCACATGCCTTTAATCTCAGCACTCAGGAGGCAGAGGTAGGTGGATCTCTGTGAGTTCGAGGCTAGCCTGGTCTACAAAGTGAGAACCAGGACAGGCACCAAAACTGCACTGGCAAACTCTGTCTCAAAAAAACAAAAACAACAAAAAGAAAAAAAAAAGGAATATAATTTCAACCAGCTGAATGTAGTCTCACATACCGTTAACCCCAGCACCTGGGAGGTAGACATAGGTGGATCTCTGTGAGTTTGAGGCCAGCCTTGTCTACCTAGTGAGTCCAGGATAGCCAGGACTGCATAAAGATACTCTGTCTGAAAAAAACCAAAAAAATATAAAATAAGAAATAAAACCCCAAAAACAACAATTATGGAGTTGACAGATGGCTTAGCAGTTATGAGCATTTGTTCCTCTTCAGGAGGACCTGAGTTCTGTTCCCAGCACCCACATGGTGGCTCACAACCGTCCATTCCAGTGGATCTGACATCTTCTGATGCACAAAACACTAAAAACATTCATTTTATTTTTATTTATTATATAAAAATATTTCATTACAGATAAAATAGAAATATTATTTTTTAGCTGGGTTGTGGTGGCACACACCTTTAATCCCAGCACTGGGAGACAGATGCAGGTGGATCTCTGTGAGTTTGAGTCCAGCCTGGTCTACAGAGGGAGTTCTAGGACAGCCAGGGCTGTTACCCAGAGAAACTCTGTCTTGAAAAGCAACAAAAATAAAAATGAAGTTCTCTTTTTGTAAATAATGAAGTCAATCTAAAGAAAGTTGTAGCAGACTAGTGAGTGATGACCTTGTTCATGTTCCTCACTCAGTACCTATCAGGCCTGCAGGTGACAGAACCATGTGTACAACTAAAACTCGCTGATTAGCCTGTAACATGAAAGCCGTGCTGTTAACAGCAGGGAGCTGGGTGGATGCCAGGCAGCCCTTGGCAATTCCTCCATCCTCTTGAGTTTTTCTGTGGAGTCTTTTCCTAAGGGAGTGCAGTTTAACTTCCGGAGCGTGTCAGACAGCAGAGCCGGAAGTGCAGGCCAGCGGTTTTGACACACGAGGTGTTTCTTCCTTTGTGTTTTGCTGGAGGACAGCTTATAACAGTCTCTCTGCCTCCTGGATCCACTGAAATGTTGCCCACACACTTCTGCTGGGCTGAGAAACCTGACCTAGTGTTTGATTCACCTCTTCCCCGTAGCATTGTTGACCACTTTGGTATTCTGGGAGGAAATGCAAATCTGTCTAACTGCTGTCTAGTGCAGCCGACCTGACCTCAACCCTAACTCTAACTTAGAAACTGCAACAGAAAGTCAATTCAACTCTTTTGTCTCATTTGTGCAGAGTAAGAAGCCAGGCTTTACAGCATCATGCTCTCCAAAGAGAAGCACAAACTCCGGCCTAGGGCCAGCTCCAGATGTCAAGGCAAACTGGCCTAGGACTAGATACCCCGCCCCGAGGAAAGAGCGCAGCGCCGTGGCGGCGGTCTATCCATCCTTGCACATTTACACATACCCATAGTGCACTTTTGCTCTGGCACACAGGTGCCTCCCTCAGAGGTTTTGGGGTACTTTTATTGGGTTTTGTTTTGTTTCACATGCAGTGTTGGGAACCAGATCTAGGGCACTAAGCATACTAGGTGAGTGCTTTACCATTGACCTGTGTCTCCAGCTCCCCTGAAATGGTTGTGGGTTCTACACACTTTATAAGAGGAAATCTATAAATGAAATGGAAACTCGGTTTATGGTGTACTGTGTTGTGCGTTCACCACACACTGACCTGCGCTCTGTCCTTCCACTGTGCATATATCCTCAGGTGCATACCTCATGAATTCAGTAATTTTATCCTCAGATGAGATTATAGTTTGATGTATAGAAAAGCCTTTATTGAAAGCTGAAGCATATATACTCATGAAAAGACAGCACATACATACCTCATTTTTAACCAATAGATGTTCCCTCTGAAGTTAGATGCAAATCAGTTTTTAAAAGATCAAACTGTTTTAAATGTGTTTTGGGAATGCACCATATGAAAAAGTCTTGTGTTGGTTTCCAAACGGTAAAATGTCCTGTCAGACTATGGTATATCAGGTTTGCTCAAAGAGAGGTATTCCTACACAGAAAAAACAATTACATGTATTACTCATAATTTAATGTTGCATACATTATGTTCAACAAGGTTATGTAAATTTTTAACTCAATGATTAAAATTCTTTCTCTCTGGTTATTTGTTCCTTGATTATTTTACTACATAATCTTATGTGAACAGATTTACACATCAGCCATTTATTTTCTGTGATTCCTCATGAGGACCAATCATAGTCTTCCAGCTACAAGCCACGTCAGAATTCGGAGTCACAGTGAAGAGCAATCACTCAGGTTGGCACTGGGCTCATGCTTATAATCCCAGCACTCGGGAGGCAGAGACCGTGAGTTCAAGGCCAGTCTGCTCTACATCCCAAATTTAGGCCAGCCAGGGTTATAAAGTAGGACCTTGTACATAAAAAAAAAGGGGGGGGGGGTATTCCAAGCTAGGTATGGTGGCTCATGTGTAACTCCAGCACTTGAGACAGGAGAGTTGCTGTGAGTTACTGAGTTACAGAGTGAGATTCAGTCTCAAATAATAAATAAACAAATAAAATAAAAAGGGAGCCGGGCGGTGGTGCCTCACACCTTTAATCCCAGCACTGTGAGGCAGAGGTAGGCAGATCTCTGTGAGTTCAAGGCCGGCCTGCTCTACAGAGTGAGATCCAGGACAGCCAGGGCTGTCTGGAAAAACAAAAAAAGAAAGGAAAGGGGAAATGGAGGTAGAGAGGATGACTTCTGTCCATGCAGTCCACTCCTGCCCTTACTTCCCTTTTGTCTTGTCACATTAGATGAAAAGTTTCCTAGCATACTTTCATTTGTATTTGCATGTGTGGATACATGTTCCTGTATGTGTTATATGTTTGTACGTGTGTGAATATTTCATCCATGTGTATACATGTTTATGCATGTGTTCACATGTGCATACATGTCTGTGTGTATGCATTTTCATGTATGTGTGTATGTGGAGGACCTGACTCCTGTCCTCCTCAAAAAGCCTTCCTTTTAGGGCCGCATGGCCAATGGGAGTACTGTCACCACCTGGTGGCAGCATACCCTTTCTTGTTGTTTTGTTTGTTTTTTATTTATTTAATGTGTGTGCACAGCGCACATGTGGAAGTCAGAGGACAACTTGCGAGTGTTGGTCTATGTCTCATCCGACCACGTGGGTCCTGAACATCAAACTCAGGTCGTCAGGCTTGGCCATAGGTCCTTAAACCATGGGTGAGCTGTCTCACCAGGCCCTTTCTGGTCTTGGAGAGAGAGGTGATGTGATCACTGTTATGCCCAGATCACGGGGACCCCCAAAAGACCACCTCAGAGACCAAATCCTGTATGAAAAAGCAAAGAGACTTTATTTCAAGTTCTGGGGCTCAGTCCATCTGTCTGTCCAAATGAACACGAGAACAGAGAGCCCTGAGCCCAGGCAGGGTGGGATTTTTATCATAGCAGAGGTTGGGGTGAGGGGATTTCTAGGGTTCAGGACCCTCATTGGCTGACAATTGTCTAGGAATATCTGTAAAACAAAAATTGGTCTGTGCTAGACTCAAGGACATCTGGCCACCTTATCTAACAATTGGAATGTTAGGTATTTCCTCATCCCTGGGTGGATCCCTGGGTGGTATCAGCTTGAGGCTTTCCTGGGTCTGGGTGTTGCCTGCCAGTAAGCCTGTCTTAGAAGCCATTTCTAGGTCCCTAAGCCTGTCATGGCTGCTGTGTGGTGAAGCTATTTGGGGCCCCTTTACATTCCCCCCTTCACAAGTACCAGTGACAGGACCTAATCATGGGTCCTGCCTGTTCATAGGTTTAAGGGGATGGTATTGGGACCTAAGAGCCATTAGCTGAACAGCTGACCCACTCTCAAATGAAGACAATCAGTCTATTAATAAGACAAGGGCCAAGTGTAAGCAGAAGGAGCAAAGTCATTAAGGGGCCGGCTAAGGCAGACACCAGGGTGCTTAACCAAGGGGACCAACTGAACAGATTTTCATACCATCCAACTTACGAGCGTACGTTTTGCTCTCTATCATTAATCCGTTTTCTTAACAAGGCCATTGAATCTCTAATTATCCCAGAATGATTGACATAGAAACAGTATTCTTCCCCTAGAGCAACACATAAGCCTCCTTGTTGCATGAAGAGGAGGTCCAGACCTCTTCGAGGTCTCTAATTTAAGTATAGACTGTTCTATGTTTTTAAGATCTGAATCGATGGTTAACTGTGGGGCCCGGTAGTTTTTATCCTGGAGAATTAAGGCTGGGGTGCCTACCCCACCCCCACCCCACCCCCATTTGCCCCAGCTATGCCCAGCCCTACCAGGGAAGAGAGTAAGACAGCTGTTGCTCCTATGGCCCGTTTTGCCCTGGTAGGAATAGGGGGAAAGGCCAATTCTATTTGGGTCTCTTTATAAGATATTTTATGTTGGGGAACAATTGGACGATCACACAAAAACCTTGTCCAGGGCTGGAAAGATGGCTCAGAGGTTAAGAGCACTGGCTGTTCTTTCAGAGGTCCTGAGTTCAATTCCCAGCAACCACATGGTGGCTCACAACCATTCTTAATGAGGTCTGGTGCCCTCTCCTGGCCTGCAGTCATACATGCAGGCAGAACACTGTATACAGGGATGCAGGGAGTGAGTGCCAAAGTGCAAGCCCACCATCCAGCAGAGGCCGAATAAACAGTATTGTTTTGTATGGCAATAGTCTGATTACATACAACTGATGGTGCTTGCTTTCCAGGAGGCACCACACAAATTCCTGTACCCTTTACCTGCTGTAACGAAATCTTTCCCTGTTTCCCCCAAGGCCAGGATGCTGGGGAGACTGAGGTGTAATCACTGGCTGTTGTAATACCAGTATAGAAAGTT